TCACTATTTTGTTATCATTCACATTAGGCACAAGACAAAAACAGTGATTTGATTCAGAAGCATGAGCTTTTGGAGTAACAAATGCTCCTGTTCCTGACAGTCACTGCTGTACATCGTAATCTGTAACTAAGTATGGAATTTTCCTTGTTCATCTGTTTCCCAAAATAGGATAACTCACTGCTTTTGTGCTGTCACCAAGTACCTGCCTGTGATGTAAAACATACAAATCATACAAAAAAGGAAAATGACCCATCTTTTCAGCACAAGACCAGCGATCAGAGGTCCTATCTGTCTGTGACTGTTTTCTTTGTCCTTGTGAATAATCTTCATTCTGGGAAAGATGCTGCAGAGGAGAATCTAGCTCATAAATGAGAACAGAGGTCTTCACATTCTTAGTCCTGCCCATAGAAACATGAGGAGAGAGACAAACACACTTGCTTTCTGCAAACCATCCCCAGCTCTGCTTCTTCTGTTTCATCATTTTCAACAGCACCTGAAAGGCGTAAGACCATGCCACCCTGACAAGGTGGTATTTGACACTCTCTTTAAACTTAGATGCATGACGATATGCCAGGCTGTGGAAAGTCATGCCTCCTTACTGTTTCATATGGCCTGCATCCTTTGCTTTCTTTATCTCCTTAGATGATCTAATACTGACTTTTGGTCATATCACAGCTTAGAAAAGCATACTGCAGCCCATCAGGGTAGGCAGTGAGACATTCACGTGGGGTAGACAACTCCTCAAATGTGCCTGGGGTCCCTGAGCAGGCTGGGGTGTTGATTGCTCCCCTGCTTCTCATCAGGGATGCTCTGGGGTGGAAAGTGATACAGCTGGAGGTTTTGTATTGCTAGCATCTGTGTAAATGTTACAAATTCATGTCATGACTCTTACATGTTATCCAAATCCAATGTGGGAAGGTGAGCTAAAGCTGGAGTAATCACCTGGGGCTTGACACTAGCATTGTTATGAAAAATAAGTGGTCCACAAGCTGATCTCTGTAATAAATTGTTTCTACTTTTCAGGCATGTGAAACCATCAGTAAATGGACCCAATATGTCCAAAAGCCTGAAAAATAAGCCAGGACTATGTCTTAACTGTCCTAAATCATTAAGCACCAGTCACACCCCCTTTGTGGTGATGGTTGTTTTGTCAACAGTCTGTTAAGATTTTACCTTGGTAATGACCACAGTGCGTACCTGCAACTTGGAGGAAGAGATTGCAGCCAAACGAACATTGAAAACTGTTAGGTCTCTTAGTCATTTGTATTCCATATACTGTAAGCTCTTCTGTTGTGTAAACTGCTGGATAGGAAAATGCAACTTAATGCATGGAAAGTGTGACTGATGTTCTATGTCCTCATCCTCTCAGAGCTGACACTGGGCACCTCTGGCAGTGCAGCAGCATGGATGTCATGGTACCAGACCCAGGGGAGCCCAGGGACAGGTGGCAGCATCCTGCGCACACTGTGGTGCCACACCAAGCACACATCTCCCTGCGAAGGAGGGAGGTCAGCGCAGGGCTGGCAGAGCTCCAGCCCATGGCCCAAGGCAGGCTGAAGCTTTGTCCTGTCCTTTGTGGGAAGCAGGGCTGCCCCAGTGCCCTAGTACTTCAGGCATGAGGCCCATGGAGCTGAGCACCATGAAGAAGGAAAGGACTGAACCTGCAGACCAAGCAGCTCCTCACAGATGTGTCTTTTATCTGAGTCAAGGGCACTTTTCTGCTTCTTGGTCACACACACATGTCAAGTGTCCCAGAGGCAGTGAGAAAGGCAAGAACAAGAACAATAAGCACAAATGCAGCCTCAGAGGGCCTTTGGAAGAGGGTGTGGGTATTCGCCCTGCAGTCCAGAGCAGTTTCTTGGGATTCTTGGGAACTTAACACTGTGGTTTTTCCCACCTTTTTCCCATGTGTGTACAAATTGCAGGGTGGACAGCTACAAAAAGAAAAGATGGACTGAGCAGAATATGGAGTTTCAGGAAAGCGTGCCCGTGCGCAGGAGAAGCTTCATGAATATCAGGTAGTGCTGCATGCTCTGTTTTGCTGACTGAGCAAAAGGAAAAAGGGATACGCAGCTTTTCAATTCTGTTCACTGTGGAGGACTTCTGACACCGGATGTTTTTGTTGTTCATTGAACAGGTATGGCAGATTTGAAAACCAATCACACCTATGTGTCTAGAGAGACCACGGTACCTTAGATCAACTGTAATCCACACATATACATTTAGGAACCATACATAAAAGCTGTGAATTTGGTGCTGTAAGTATTTATGATTATGAGCAGATTTGTGGACTTTTATGGGACTGGACTTGGTAGTAGGGCACACCAGGTAATGAGTGCTTGCAGAACTGGGAGTGTTCTCCCCACTCTACAGAAAACTACATTTCTAGACCGGATCAAAAACCCCACCTATTTTTGCAAAAAATAAGGAAAAAAGTTATTTAAAGGAGCTGAAAAGAGTTTTGCTTAAGACAGCCAAAGCAAAGAAATTTTAGGTTGTTTTGGGTAAGATTTACAAGAAACATTGCTCTGGTATCCTTGCTGAAGCCATTATCAAAATCATGAAACACTCTTTTGCTTCAGAAAGACAGGAAGAGCCCTTGTTTAGCAGCTTGCTGAGGTTACAACCCTTTCAGCACTGGCGTTCTTGGAGCTCTTGGATTAAATCCAGCATCAGTTAGGGGGTTCATCCCAAGCTACAGTTCAAAGTGAAACCTCAGCACTGGGATCTGTGCTAGCAGGAGTAATTCTGGGGGACCAAAACCTGTCTTACGGAAATGTATGGCCATGATTAACTGCGCAAGGAATTGTTCTGAAGCTGTCAGATAAGTCCCCGCAGTAGCTAAACGCTGTCAGTGCTATTTGTTGGGTTAAATTTCACTTCTGTTGCAGTTATAGTCCTGTCAGTGGAGTGACTGAAGCTGTTAATTTGACTTTTTCAGTTAGGTTCTTCTAACATCTCCTTATTTGCTGCTTCTCTCTGGCATACATTTGTTACTTGGGAAACAACAGGCCCGTTGTTATGAGAGGAATTTGCCTGTCACCCACAAGTGCTGTACAAAGTATGTTTATACAGCATTTTGGAATTTACACAGTGGTTTGGGAAACGTGTAGGCATTCAGATGATTGTTCTTAAGACTGTGCATATGATGCCGTGCAAGTATTTTAGGTGCTAAACATGTGTAACAGATAAAGTTTATTTTCTGTTATTCTTAACTGTAAATGCCATTAGCCAGAGTCTCAGCTGGTGATAGATGCTGGCACCCAATTCTGGCTCTGCTGGTGCTGCGAGAAGTAACTGTTTGCATGAGAGAAGAGGCTTAAAGTCTCACTTGGAGGATGACAGCGGCACACAGGCTTCAGCTGACTGTCCTCAAAGCCTGTTTCCAACTTAGGGCTGCAGCCCGGCCCCAGACAGAGCGTGGTCGTGGTGTGCAGCAGGCAAGGACATGGTAGTGATGGGGCTGAAGAGCAGGCAGGCCACCATCAGCACTTGTCCTTTCAGTAGAGAGCAAGAAGGACAGCATGGTGAGAATGTGAGCACCCCAGAATCACAGGTGAGGAACAGAGGTATTATATGGTTAAAAGGGATTTTGTACTGCCTAGGATAGCAGTGGTGTTAAAAATGGCATCTAGCCCCTCAGCCCCAAGCTTTCCCTTCTAGTGACCATTTTCCTGCCGTCTGCTGAGTTGAATCCCATGTTAGCCTGGACACGTGTTATTCCTCAAAGTTCCACAAACACCTCAGCTTGTTTCCTCTCTGTTTCTCTCTCTCTCCAAGAGACACCTGTACCAGCAAGCACATAAATGCAGGATGCTCTTTGCAGTTCCTGCATGATACAGCCAGTGGCATTGGTCACCTGGGAAAGCTTGGTGGGTCAAACCTTGCATTCACTGACACGGCACTGTTCCCTATGGCTACCCTGTAAACCAAACAGTAGATGCTTGTTATTTCAGCTGTATCAGGCTCATGAAGGCTGTTGCAGGTGTGGAAAGAGCAGGACTGTACTCCTGTGTCTGCTGACATGCTAGCAGGATGGGAGCATGGCTCTGCATCCCATCTCATCAAGCAGTATTGTCCCTCCAGCATACTAGCCAGCTTGTTCAAATATACTGTGTTTTTGCTGTGTGCTGCCAGAGATGTAATCACTTGCTAATTGAGAAATGTTTTGTTGCTGCTTATTTCTGCCTCTGTTTTCCTTCTAGCATGCAGCACACCATGGTAACTTGTGTCAGGAGGGGCAAGTTTCAGAAAAGATGTTTGGACATAGGTGTTTGTTTTGTACCTGCTGGTCACTTACACCTAGCTTTTTCCTTGCAGGCTGCAGTGTAGGCATATGCAGCCCAAAATAGCCAGCTAGGAATAAAGGCACTAGCTAGTTTGATTTGATCTGCTTTCTTTAGTTATTTTTTACAATGTACACTGCTCCTGAATGAATGCTTCTTTACTGAAAAAAGCACTTGACTGAAAACAGCTCTACATGTATCTTACCTAGTTTTTAGCCTGCCTCTCTGATTTTCTCCAAGAGAAAACAGTTTATTGTAAAACCAGAAGAAAATGCCTTCTGTGGGACTGCTACCCATCACAAAGCCAGGAGACATGGTGATTACCAATCTATAGCATTATTTTTGCTATTAGCCTTTTGCAACAGTGCACTGCATAGTCAAGCCAGCTGCTTTAGATCATATGGCCCAAACTACCAGGATTTGTTAATTCAATTTGTTGATGCCAAAATTTCCCTAATTTAGCTGTTTGAATCTTTTTGATAACTGTGTTTTGCAAGACCTCTCTAACCATTTATTCAGATCATCTTTCAGAGCAGCAGCAAAGGGTTGGGCACTCAAACACCAGACCTTGCAACAGATTAGATGGTCATCTCATGTGACTCCTGATGGAAAGAGTAACAGCAATGAAGACAAAGTTAATGATCACAGGGAAGAAACTTGTTCCATTTGGTGACCTCTCTTGATCTTTAACTTTATTTGTCTGGCAGACTTTGATCAGACACTGCACTTCTTTATACTTCTGAGAAAGACATTTGTTCTGATGGCATTCGGTGCCTGAGAAAAATGCAGTAGTTGATGACCTCCCTGGAAGGGTATTGCAAAAGGAGAGTCTTCTTAAGACCTCAACGCTTAGGAAAGAGTAATCCAAATCAGTTTCTGTTGATAAATATTTCCTAACTAGAAATCAACTTAGGTTTCACTAGTGAAAACTCTCAAAGCATGTGCTTGATATAAAGGTTTTGCAGTCCTGACTAACCCCATTTCTTGAGTCAAGGCCTGAAGTGATGAAAGCTTGACCAATTTACAAGAAATGGCTTGGCTGACATGAATTACTTTAAAACATTATAGTGGCTTTCAGAGAGGAGCAGCTTGATAGGAGGTTTGTCTTGAGCTTGAAATGAGCAATTAGGTATGGAAAGCATAAGAATTATTTATTTTTAACTGACATCCCACTTTTCTTATATGTGGCTGCAGGAAAAACCTGTCTGGAAAGACACAACACTGATGGCATTGAGAACAAGGTATATTACCCTTATCCTGACTAGGACTTGGACATTAGTTCCATAGAAAAAATCTACTGCTTTTTTTCCTTTTCCTTGTTTCCTTTGGTGATAAAAAAAAGTGAGAATATGGGCATGCTGTAGAGTCAGAAACATTTCCTTTATGGGTGAAAAGAGGAACAAATGAGTTAAGAGAAAAGCAAGGACTCCCTAACCTCGTATTTTCCACAGTTCACTACTGCAGGAACTAAAATGAATGCTAGATGGGGAATGGAAAAGTTTGCTGCTGCTAACACTGAGGTGATACTGCTCTATGTAACTATAAAAGTAAGGACTGTTTCCATTTTGTTTCATGTGTTTGTTTTACCTGAACTTTCCAGGCTCATCCCCCAGGCATCAGCACGTGCTTGGTCACTGAGAAATGAAAAAGAGTAGGAAATAAACTTTATCTGCTCTTCTGTCTCTCTGGTATGTGTCCATTGCAGCAGGTATGTGCAATTCTGTATGACTAAAATCAGGTCTTAATATTTGAACAATAACTAAAATTGTCCTGCTATGCTGGCATTCACAAGTTTCTGTTCAACAAAATGCTTATATGCCTGTTTAAATCCATCAGTGAAGCACTGAAGCGTAAATTTAATGGTATCCACATGCTCAGTTCCATTAGCTTAATGGTCTTTAAACCCCCACTGAGAATCAGATGCACACTGAAGGATGTCCTGAAGATCACTGGCTTGCCTATGGACTCAGGAGTTTAGGAGCTGGGGGAGACCCACTTGCCAGGTAGTCATCTTCTGTCAGCAGCAGTGATTCAGTCATGACTGTTAACATAGAAAGGCTGGATGGCCAATGCCATGTAACAAAAGGCTGTGCAGAGTGCGGTGTGTGAGCACGAGGCTTCTGAGACCTGGATTTGGTGACTGAGTGGCTGGGGGGAGATCTTACTTGCGATTGAAGAGGAAATTGAGGCAAAGGTGTTGCTAGGAAGCTCTTGGCAGCTTTCCCAACAACATTACTTGAGAAGCTCTGCTGTTAACTGCAAAACTCTCCAGCCCAAAGCCAGGCTGAAAGAGTATCATTATATGTTATCTCAAGCACGGGTGACTGTATTTGGAGGCACTTAGGAAACACCCCTCCCACAGTCAAGGTAGGAGCCCTTGAGGACTCCATCCAGCCCATCACCAGTCACTCCAGGTGCTTTACTCTTCTCTGTGCCAGGGCAGAATCCCTCCTGGAGCACTGTTGTACATCCCTGTGGAAACAGTGGAGCTTTGCCATTTTTCAGTAGCTGAGGATATGCCCTGAGGGAAATGTGATGGATGTACACAACATACAAGGCAGGAAGAAGGAGGGCTTTTGGTACAAAAGGAACCTTAACTTTACCATGTTTTCAATTAAAAACAAGAAGGGTGGAAAATGGAGACATGAGAGGAAATTGCCCACTGATTACAAATGCAAATGGAGAATCCAAAGAAAACAGACTTTACAAGAGAGTTATGAAGAGGTTACCATAAAGTTTCTCTTCACCTTTTGACCCATCCTATGAGTCACTCCAAGATAAGACTGAGCAGAGCACTGTCATATGGAAAACTAAGCAAAGGAGGTCTTCTCCTAAATAAATAAGCACTTTACCACGGGGGAATTACAGAAATGTAAAGCTGATCTTTTTTTCCTTCATATTGTTTAGCTTTGTGTTTCTGGGCATTGCTTTATGCACTTAAAGTGCTGGGAAAAAAACCCTATGCTTGAGCTCAAGGCCTGGTAAGTAAAAGATTAAAGTGCACTGTGACTTACGTTCTCTGTCCTCAGTCAGAGGAGCCTTGACAGAACCTTGTCATGTGCAGGAAAAGTTAATTATCTATACAAACATCCCATCTCCATTTGGGGTCCATCAAACAGCAAGAAACTTCTATGGAAAGAATCCCATGACCTGCAGGGAATTTTCTAATGGACCAACTGAAACAGTTGAAAATCTCTTGAAGTCTGCAGTGTGATCTGGTCCATGTTCTGTTGCTGATGCTGGGTGATTGCTCTGCTTGTCAGCAGGCAAACTTCTGAGCTAATGATAGTCTATGCTTATATTTGGGTTTACAGCAGTCAAGCACAGAGGAAGGCAGAGCAGAGCAGAGATAAAAATGGCTTCTTTCCAGGTGGGTTTTGCAGACAGCTACTCTGCTAGCAAAACTGAGCTAATTTCCAGTTACCGGAGGGTGTATATCCGCATAACACCATTGTGACCACCACAAAGCTGTAGCCGTGATTTCTGTTGGACAGCCCTAATTGAAGTCACAGCCCACCGAGTGTAAAGGCTTTTTAAAATGTCTTGAGCTGCTGCTGACATGCATTTGGCTAGGGTTTTATCTGATCCACTGGATTTTGACATATAAGATTGGATTGCCCTCTTTTGGTACTGAAGAACCCCCTGATGAAGCATCACATTCCTGTCTCTAATCTGTCTGCTAAACAAGGGCTCAGCCCTCAAGTGACTGTCATCCTGCTTGTCCCAGCAGGGACAGGGAGGGAGTGTGCACAGCTGAGTGCTGTGAAGCCATGCCATGAGGAAATGCTGAAATTTGCTGCATAGAGGTATTTTTGGAACACCACTTCTTCATAAAGGATCAGTGATAATGAACCCAGACAAAAGAACCAGCTAGTAAATGCAAACAAATGGTGTTTCCACATGCTCACAGTAATTTCTCTAATGCAGTGCCTGATACTTGAGGAATGGGTGGCATGCAAGGATAAGAAATGTTCTGGTTTTATTTTTACTGATGCTATTTTTCATGCAAGGAGTTTAGGTTTATCTGCTCTGACACTATCATTTGACAAATTTCAGTTCAATGAGTTTTGTTTGTATTGGGAGAAGGACTTCTGCACTTTCTCACATTAAAATTGGTATTCATCACTTTGAAAAAAAGAAACTGTAGGAGTAAAAGTCTGCCAATGAAAATCTTAGTGACTTCCCTCTTCCACCACCTCTCCTCTCCTTCAGCTCAGCCCCTTGCAGGTAGGTCCCTGCTTTCCCTCCAGAAACCTGACAGCCATCACACTTTGCAGTTGATGTGATGCTGGTTGCCACCACACCATTGAATCTGCCTGTGCATCTGACTCAGGTCTTCTCCTCTGCTTTATCTGTTTAGACAGTATCCTCTCTGGGATCAATGACTGGAACAAGGAAACCATGCTTGGCAGAACTTTGATAAATAAACAAATAGAAGTAATGGTAATGACTATGGCAGCAACAACAGATTAGTCAGGTTATTAATTTCACTCTTTAGTGAATACAGTTGCTTGGAGTTGAAGCTCTTGCAAACAGTCAATCCACTTAAGAAAATACATGCAGAGGACTAAGATACTTGCCTATCAGCTGTGTCGTGGTAACTGCCATTATAACATGACAGGGAAAACAAATCATCTTTATACAGTTCCAGGAGGAAAATGTCTAGGATAAATGTCATCACCTTGCAATTCCTGAAGATTTGCATTGGGCACGTGTCACTGCTCAGCCCACGCAGAGAGTCCTGTGGATCTGTCACCATGTGCATGAGGCTCAAATTTACTCACCTTTCATTGCAGCTGGTCACAGACTCGAACCAGAACGAGGTGTCGTTATCTACCCGGGATGGCTCTGGGCACCACAATGACAGAATCCCCTCAGAAGTCCACTGTGCGGCATTTTTAACTGAAGGGTGAGCCTGTGGGGTTTTCCCAAATAATTTATCCAATCTAAAGCCAAATGGCAGAAAAGCTTTCAAAATTTCACCATAAATGCCCCAAAAGGTTCTTTTTTTGTTGTTTTGACAGGAGAGAAACAAGCTAGAGGATCCTTCACAGACCTATAGGGCCAATTTCAATCTCAGCGTGAGGCCATCTCCACAAGCAGATGTTTAATTTATTGCACTGAAATGCTGGAATGCCACATTTGAGGCTGGCTCTTTGACTAATATGTGAAAGTTAAGAAGAACCCAGCCAAAACACCACAAACCCAAAGGAAACAGATCTTGTTTTGCTGTCAACAGCCTGACAGATAATAGGTGAGGCCCCATTTTCCCTACAGGCTATTGAAGAGTAACTTGATCAAGGCATATGAGATAAATGGAGATGACACAGTCATGCTGGGACTGGAAACACGCCTCCAGCAGTGGCAACAGAGTGTGTATATGTTTCCGAAGGAAACTGCAAGGGTCTTGTTGTCTCGAGATGCAGCTTTCTGCTTCAAAGGCTGTTGTGAGCAGGTGTGAACATGCTGGGGCTTTGCTGTCTCAGCCATTAACTGTGGCAGGAAACCAGGACCTTCCTTAGAGACAGTGGCTCATGTAAGGCAGTGAAAATAATTCTGTTTTACGGAAATCTAATGGGTTTAAATTACTTTATGTAGTAATAAAGCTGAAAACACAATTCTGTTTGAAACTTTTAATAAGGAACCACAAGAGAGCCAAAGGTGTTTTCCTAAGTGATTGCTGTCCTTACCAGGACCACGCAAAGTGGGATCCTGTCTGCTGCAGGTTCCTGTCTCCTCTGGCTCAGGCAGGAGGATAAGTGATAATTATCAGGCTATTCTGGGGTTACAGATTTTCTCCAGCACAAATTCCATCCTGGACTTAAGACAAGGCTGGTCAACGCCAATGTGCTTCTGCAAAGACATCTGATTTTCAACAAAACAGCATCTTTGACCAAAAAGGGTTCTTTTCGAAAGCATTTTCTTGGGTCAGGTGCTTTTGCACTGTGTCCAAATGTCCATGGTACCAAGTGCATTTCTAGTACTCAAATATTCTGTGTTTTTCAGTTAAAGATCTGAAAACAATGTTTTAAACTTACAAAATATAAAGGAGATCCTGTTCCTGCAGGAAGGTAAGCCTACAGTGGAGAGCTGGTTTGAACATTTTAATGGCAGTCTTTACTTTGCATCCAGATACCGTTTTGACGGTGAAAATGTTTTGCAAGGATATAGTGTTTGCAAAACTATTTTTGCAGCCATGGTTCATGAGGCATTGAGAGAAAGGTAAGTAATATGGAGACAGGAGCTGTGACTTTATTCTGCTTTGTGAAAGCATTTTGGCTTTTTCCAGTCTGAAACAAAACCAGCTTTAGGCTCTCTCATAAGTCTGTCCCATAACAGTATAATTAGCTGCCAAGTAAGATAACAGTGCTGATCAGCTGTTTCTTTTGCACTTTTGTGGATCCTTGAGAAACTGTGGAACGGACTATGAAAAGGAATAGCACAGCCCATGCAAATCCCCTAGAAGCCCTCATCTTCCATGTCATGTTCAATTCATTTTGTCCAGCTGTGACAGTTCTGTTTCCAGTGTGCCACAGGCATTTTCACTGGTGATATACAAGTGCCCCAGTTTTCCTGCTGCTTTCAGCCCTTGAAGCCTGTCTCAAGGGCACATAGACAGAGGAATTCCTCATCTTCCTGAAAAATGTTATGTGGTCGGTGGGATGCAGAGACTATGTCAGCAATGTCTCTTTAGAGCTTCTTACAGCAATTGGAAGGACTCCGCATAGACTGGAACAAAGGCCTTGCAATCCCTCCAGGCAAGTGTTAAAAGCTGTTTTCAGACTCAGGAGAGCAACAGCTACCTTCAAGTGAGGATCAGAACTTCTTCTTCCCAAATATACAGGATGAGGGGCATCTATTGAAAAATAAGAAACAATTCAGGCATAGTTTTCAGGTTACCATTTTTAATGTTGAAGGAGCTTGACCCTAGCATGTATACTAATAGACTAGGAAGGTTCAGTATTGAGACTTGGACTCATACAGAAAGACAGAAAAGCTGCCTGCCTCCTGCATTCAGCCTGGGCACTGAAGCAGTGTGAGGCCATCACTGTGCACCCCCCCAAGGCTGCTCCTGTGAGACCCCATGCTTCCCCCTACTCTCACTCTGCGGGTGCCAACCCACAGCAGCTCTACAGAGCAACAGCAATGTAAAGCAGCTGTGAACTGAGACATAGCTCCTCCATGCCTCTGTCCCACATCCTCACCCAGCCGTTTCCTCTCCCTGCCTGCAAAGCCAAGAGTCCAGCCACTGGGGATCTGGAGCCTCTGCTAAAAGCATGTGAAACAGTCTTCAGCTGGATCAAACGGAAATGTGGAGCTGCCCCCAGGCTTGGCATGGTGCATATACAGAGAAGCTTTTCTCCTCTCTTTGCTAGGAAGTGGTTTACAACAGTGAAGTGTGGTGATCGCCTAGCAAGTTGATCCCATTGTAAGAGCTCATCAGGCATTGCTTTCAGCACCTGCAGAAGATGCTTGACATAATTGTTACTGTACACAGATACAGATACAGTTACAGGTAACTGCTTTGGGAGAGTTTCTCTGATCAGTTCATTTTGAAAACCAGTAAAACAAGTGGTAAAGGAATAAGCTCTCGTGAGCACTTTCCATTCACCCAAGGACAAAAGCAAGGCAAAGGAGCCGTGTGTCAGTCCCCAGCATGCTCCTATGCCACTGCAGAGCTCTCGTATGAAGGGCAGGAGACAGTCTTTGTCAAGGATAAGACTGCTCCTTCCCCTGAGGTCACAGGAATGGGGACACCCACATCTAACTGAGGTGTCTATATACATGTGTAGGATGGAGCTGTAGCCTCAAGACTTCCACAGTTTGGGGAATTTCAAACCTCTGCCATAGAAGTAAATGTGAGCATTTCTTAGCACTGTTGCCTATTGGTAAGATCATTTTTTCATTCTGCTTGAGGATTGGTGCATTTCAGAAAAATCACAGCAGTTACCTTACATTAACCATCATGCGATCTGCAGGCAGACATGACTTTGGGGATTTATACTAGAAGAGAGACTTCTCTCTCTGTCAGAGAGGAAGATGTGTCTCTAGTCCTAATTCCAAGATCCAGAACACTCTTTCTATGAACTTTATTGGGGTAAAAGTCTATTCACCATGAAAGGAAAGGTCTCACACATTATCTGTGCTTTGCACAGACACTGTTATTCTGGGTAGCAGGAACTTTCCTCTGGAATGAAATCATGCAACGGTGTAATTCTTTTCATGCACCACGTGTGTTGTCTTTCATTTCAAGGATTTCACTGTGCCTTGCAAATGTCAATTGCTTAAGGCACACAGCTCAAGTAGGCATAATTTATCGCTTTTCATGATGTTTATTACCGAGATTGTTTGAGTGGGACCCAGGTGTTCTGGGGTAGAAACCCTTCCTCCTCAGCAAGCAGCACTCCCTGGCCCTCAGGGAGAGAAAATTCTCTTCAAAATGATTCCCAGGAATTCATTTCCTTAGCCTGTGATTCGGTTTTCTAGCCTTCCTTGATTCTGAGCTATAGTGTTTTACATTTGTGCAGCTGGGCATACACCTGAGTTCGGGCTGTGTGGATGCTCAAACGGAGAATCCTGATCAGACTTCTTCCAAAATTGCCATGAGGCCCGCTTCTTACAAAGGGGCACTGCCTGTTCACAGAGAGAGCCTAAACTTAGCTGGGAACAGAAATAAACAGCAGCCATAGGAGACTTCCCTGGAAGTATGAGTGCTGTAAATGCAAAGCAAGCATGGCTATTCTACTGTACACACCTCTCACAAGGTTGTCTGCCTACATATAGAGGTTGTGATGTGAGTTTTTACTTGTTTGCCAACTGCACATCAACTGGGATATTTTTCAGTCTTTTGTTTAGACCATAACAAATGTAAAGTAATAAAGGATGATTTTAATACTTGAGAGTGAATATTGCACCTGTATTTGACTTTGAAAATTTTCTAGGCTACTTTAATCTTAATCTCCTGTTTTTACTCACCCATGTGAGTAAGATTTGATAAACCCCCCCTGAGCCTTTAAAATTGCACTGGTTTTACTCTGGTAGCTTTTATAATTCTTTCATAGAAGTAGGGTAACCAACTGCTTTAAAATCAAAGTTTTCTACACAACTAGTCATCCTTTAAAATAAATACTGAGCAGTCCTGGTTGATACCTGGGCAGCCCATGTTCCAAGAATCACCAGTGCAGCAAGTCACAGTTTATAAATCTGTTAGTATTACTGACAGCAACATTTATCCTATAACACTTGCCAAGATGAACATGAAGCATCAGAGACTAAGTTATACGTATGACCGTGTTTTCCTTATCTGGTTAAGTTTCAATGTAGTATCTGGAAAAATACAGTTTTCTATTATTTGACCTCTGTTATGTTGAGTAGATACGGGATAGCATCAGTGTTTTGGTGGTGTTTTAGCCAGGGACGAGGGATTTGGGAACAATTAAAAGAAAATTCATGTTGAATGGATGTATACAAATACGTTTTCCTGAGGTTTAGGTTTTTAACTGTTTTCCAGGTCTTCTGTCTTTAATAAATGGCTTCATTTTGTTGCAATTCTCCCTATGAGATCATCTACATTTGAACCAAAGTACTGAAATGTCTTTTGACCAAGACGACTATTTTGAGATAGATTTACAGAGCACATTAACAGAAGCATGCTCTTAACTTGGGTTTTGGCACCGTAGCATGTTCATGGAGAGGAAAGAAGCAGAAAAGTTTCCACATCAGTACTGGCAAAAGTTTTCTGTGGACTAGCAAAGAACTAGGGCTAGAATATCTCCTCTCAAGAGGTAGCTTAAGGCAGAGCTTTGGGGCTTGCCTGGCTCCACTTTTTTGTGCTGGTGGGTGACTTGGGGTCCCTGCTCCCCAGAAGGTGTCTGTAAGTGGAATACTTTGGCTGTGTAGCGGTAAAGAAAGGTACTGTGTGATGACAGCCTTGGGGAGCAAAAATAGACATTAGGCCCAAGACAGGCTTAGGAAATCTCCAAGTGATTCACAGCTAGCTGACATTTGTAAAATAAGAGAGTACAGCGGCAATGTGAGACTTGAACTTGTACAGTCTGTGTGGCAGAAGGGGTAAAGACAACGCTGGGGCTAAGAATATCTATATCAGTATAAATTACACCTCTTGCTTTCTCTAAATAAATTACATGGCAGTAAATGCATCCCTGTGAGAGGCTGTACTAACTGTACTATTATACTTCAAAATATGCTGGTCTTGCCTGTAGAAAAGGGTTCAGCCTCAGCAGACAGAGAATTGGCATGAGTAGCTTTGCGGACTCCTTGCTTTGCTCAGGTACCATGATCCTGTCACACCCTCCTGGACCTGGTCACCTTCCCTGTGTAGGCCAGGTCTGGTCCTGCTGGGACCTCCAGCACCTTATCTTCCCGGTGTGAAGCTGGCTGTACAACAGGCTGCTCTGGCTGGTAGATAGCCATGTGGAAATAATCATTTACTACTACTAGCTAGGGACCAGGTTAGGAAAGCTAAGGCCCAGTTAGAATTAAACTTGGCGAGGGATGTGAAAGATAACAGGAAGGGATTCTATAGGTACATTGCAAATAAAAGACAGACAAGGGACAATGTGGGCCCTTTCCAGAAGCTGTCAGGAGAACTGGCTACACAGGATTTGGAGAAGGCTGAGGTTCCTAATGACTTCTTTGCCTCGGTCTTCACTGGCAAAGGCTCTGACCACACCACCCAAGTCTTGGAAGGCAGGCACATGGACTGTGAGAATGAGGACAGTGGGCCCACTGCAGGAGAGGGCCTGGCTCGAGAGCATCTTAAGAACCTGAACATGCACAAGTCCATGGGACCTGATGAAATCCATCTGCTGGTGCCAAATGAAGCAAATGAAGTTGCTCAGCCACTGTCCATCATATTTGAAAAATCATGGCAGTCAGGTGAAGTTCCCAATAACTGGAAAAAGGGAAATATAACCCCCATTTTCAAGAAGGGGAAAATGGATGACCCGGGGAATTACAGACCAGTCAGTCTCACCTCTGTGCCTGGCAAAATCTTGGAGCAGATTCTCCTGGAAGGCATGCTAAGGCACATGAAAACAACAAGGTGCTTGGTGACAGCCAGCATGGCTTCACTAAGGGGAAATCCTGCCTGACCAATTTGGTGGCCTTCTATGATGGGGCTACAGAACTGATGGACAGGGGTAGAGCAGTTGATGTCATCTACCTGGACTTGTGCAAAGCGTTCAACACTGTCCCACACGACATCCTTGTCTTTAAACTGGAGAGACATCAATTTGATGGATGGACCATTCGGTGGATAAAGAACTGGCTGGATGGCCGCACACAAAGAGTTGTGGTCAATGGCTCAATGTCCGGCTGGAGACCAGTAACCAGTGGTGTCCTTCAGGGATCGGTCTTGGGACCGCTCTTGTTTAACATCCTCGTCACTGACATGGACAGTGGGATTGAGTGCGCCCTCAGCAAGTTTGCCAATGACACCAAGCTGTGTGGTTCGGTTGATATGCTGGAGGGAAGGAATGCCATCCAGAGGGACCTTGACACGCTTGTGAGGTGGGCTGATGCCAACCTCATGAGGTTTAACCATGACAAGTGCAAGGTTCTACACCTGGGTCGGAGCAACCCCAGGCACAGCTACAGGTTGGGCAGAGAAGAGATTCAGAGCAGCCCTGAGGAGAAGGACTTGGGGGTGCTGGTCAATGAGAAAATGAACATGAGCCAGCAGCGTGCACTCGCAGCCCAGAAAGCCAACTGTATCCTGGGCTGCATCAAAAGGAGTGTGACCAGCAGGTTGAAGGAGGTGATCCTGCCCCTCTGCTCTGCTCTTGTGAGACCTCACCTGGAGCATTGTGTGCAGTTCTGGTGTCCTCAACATGAAAAGGACATGGAACTGTTGGAACAAGTCCAGAGGAGGGCCACGAGGATGATCAGGGGACTGGAGCACCTCCCGTGTGAAGACAGGCTGAGAAAGTTGGGGCTGTTGAGCCTGGAGAAGAGAAGGCTGCATGGAGACCTCATAGCAGCCTTTCAGTATCTGAAGGGGGCCTATAGGGATGCTGGGGAGGCACTCTTCATTAGGGACTCTAGTGACAGGACAAGGGGCAATGGGTTAAAACTTAAACAGGGGAAGTTTAGGTTGGATATAAGAAGGAAATTCTTTCCTGTTAGGGTGGTGAGGCACTGGAATGGGTTGCCCGGGGGGTTGTGAATGCTCCATCCCTGGTGGAGTTCAAGGCCAGGTTGGACAGAGCCTTGAGTGATATGGTTTAGTGTGAGGTGTCCCTGTGGGCAGAATGTGTCATATGCAGGTCATCTTTGCTTCACAGAGTTTCAAAGCCTTGTATTAGCTCATATATGGGCTGACAAGAAAGATTTTTGCATTGCAATTTATCTGCAGACCATTCAGGACTTCGGAAAAAGTGTCATGGGAAAAAAAAATCTTTTTGTATGTTGCTTTCTTTTGGCACAGAAACCAGCAATTTAGGGCTCTA